GACAAGGCTTTTTCCCACACCACACCTAACAATAAAAGAAAATATTGTTTCAGTTAATTGCTTTCATGCATCAAATCAAAAAATGCAATTCACGTAGAACATTCACGATCAACTTATTATAAAAAGATATATTTCTGCAGTACTGCCATTTTAGTAGGCATTTAGTAGAGTGGAGTTGCTTTTTTTTTTACAAAATAAGGACATTTACGTCAACAAAAAGGTAAACTGTGCACCTATTACCAAGACATTGGTGAAAGGATACTGCCTGAAGGGCTAACAGATTCACCTCACCTAACTCTGAGCTATCAACAAGTTCAAACATCTATTTTAAGACAGTCATTGAGACATCTATTAAAAGCAAAAAAGAGAAACACCTCCACAATGATTCACATCCCTTAGATATTTATCTGGAGATACACTAAAGTTCCTTGCCACAGAATGCTGAAGATGCTAAGAGTGACACAGGTGATAAGGACTGTCACCTCAAACAGACCCACTTCAAAGAAAATAGTATACCAGATATCCCCAATTTGCTGAGGTACAGCAAACTTCCCAATACAGCTCCATTTTATGATATACATCTGTAGATCTATAAACCAATATAAAAGTTGAGGAAAAATATACATTTCTTACAGCACCATTGTCAGTAGGAAAGCATATTTATTCTGCTAACCACCATATTTAAGTGCATGACTTAGTTCTTTCTTTGCCTACAGGATACCTAGCTTAAAGAGGAAAAAAAATAAAAAAATAAAATAAAAAGAAAAGCGAGGATGAAGAGTGAGATCCAGAGGTTTTTAAATTAGTGCTTCCAATGAAGCATGTGTCAGATTACAGGGTAGGATAATGTGTTATCCCAGTGTTAATCTGGAAACAACCACATTCCGGCTCGTGAGCAGAAGTGATTTTTTGTGTGACAAGTTGTATAGGTGCCACAAATCCATTAGGAAATGCTAGGTACAAAAGCCACATTACAGCAGGAACTGAAAGGTTTGGAACACGATAAACTAATTTATACAAGTTGTACTTAATGCTAGCCTTTGTTTTGTAAATCATAACCACCAGCACATATGCCATGTTGCATATACAAAGGTTGTAATTTGTCAATTCATAAGCCTTCTGAAACAAAGAGGCAAGTATTACCAACTGAAGAAAAAGTATTTTCTTCCTACATGTCCTTTACCTTGGAATTAGTGTTCCACAGAATTAGAAGCCCTAAACTGTTTGTAAAACTGTTAGAATGATTTATTTATCCTTTCAAGGGTCATTACTCCATTCCAGTTCATATTTACTTTTCAGCAAAAAGTGCCTCTCTGTCTCTAGACAACTTGTTCTAGAAGGTAGAGAGCAGAACATTAGCTTATGATTTAAAGACAATTCCATAAGGGTTTTCACAGAAAGTCACTGGACTTAATTAAATAAAGGCAGTTTGGGGTGACCTATGGAAAAATAGAGAGGGAAGAGAAGAAAAGTGCACATGAAGAATCGTAAGTACCTTTCAGATAGAAGCTTTTAAGAAAAATTGGTCAAAATGCCTACCTTGGTGCAGTCAATACGGCCATCCAAACAGTGGCAGTTATTGCATTCTTGATCCCACCTGCTGCCATGAGGAAAGGTCATTCCCTTAAGCCAGCAAGGCTTTCCAATTCCAATCACTAGTGAAAACACATATGCAGACATTTCACCTTTAAATTACTGAAGCTACACAAACTGAGAAGACTATATCTTACTATTGCTTACACAGAGTACTGCATAGCAGCTTTATACTGGCTATCCTGTACCCAGATATTTTTTGCATAAAGGTCGATAGAAAATACAGAAATACCTTCTTGGCATCTAGGACCAACTCTTCCAGGAGGACAAGTGCATCGGTATCCATTTATTTCATCTATACAAGTGGCACCATATCCACAAGGAGAGGACTGGCATTCATCGATATCTAGACAGAGAACAGATTAAACTCAATCGCTAAGATATGGAACAGTGTTTGTAGTTAGACATTTATTGAGATGACAGGAAAGCAAGTATTGCCAGATTACATGTAGGAATGACTCACTTCTATTGCAATACAATCCACTACAAGTAAAAGGAAGACTATGGTTTAATCTGTTATAGATATTTGATGCAACTTCTCTTAATGAGTTTCAAATGACAAGCAGATTCCATTTAGTGTATATGAGCCAAAAAAGGCAAGATAGCAATGTGCACTGAGATTACAGAATGGCTGAGGTTGGAAGGAATATCTGGAGATCATCTACTTCATGATATCTAGTTGAGATGCATACTGAGATTTTTTTTTTAATCTATCTTGAGGAAGTGGTCAATAGTAATTTATGTAGCAGTAAATCAATACATACAATACATACAACAGAAACCAACTTGCCAAGTAAGTGAGCCACAGACACTGTTTCCTTTCCAACCATAATTGGCCTCTCTCAAAACCAACACCTATGCCAGTTCCTCAAAGAGAGGCCTTATAAATGCTGATTCTTGGCTGATATGCAAAATTGGCTCATTTTCTGTGTTACGTTATTTTTTTTTTTTGAAAGTGGATGTATTAAATAGTAGTAGTTTTACTTATCTGAGCAGCCAGAGGAAAATACCAAATCAATGTGGAAGAGCTTTTGGTTCTGTTTATCATCCTTCAAAATCACTTTTGAGTTTTATGCAAACAGAAAAGTATCTAAATTACTACAGGTTTTAATTTCTTTTCTCCTCTCTCCAAGCTACATTGGTTTACCATACATGATTATCTGTAACCACTGATTCAGTATCCAGAGATGACTAAACCAAAGCCAGCACCTTAAGTACTATGGTCAACATCTGACTACTGACAAAGCTGAAGGACCAGGCCCAACAGCCCCGAGGCCATAAAATATCAGTCTGATCTAGCAAAAAGGTAGACAAGCTGTGTAGAAATAGGATACACCATATTCAAGCATACAGACTAATGTCCCATTACAAAAAAAGAGTGGGGAGAGGAAATTCCCCAAAACCAAAGAAAACTCCAAAAACTTCTGCTTCATTATTTGGAATTCAGCTGACCTAACACATAAAGGATCAAAGGGTGTCCTTTGTGATTTTTTTTTCCTGTGTGTGTCAGAATAGTACAACCTTATAATTCTTTAACCCTACAGGTACTTACTAATCCTGCAGTCAGGACCAGCAAACCCAGGTGCACATTCACATCGAAACCAGTTCACACCATCAACACAGATGCCTCCATTATAACTGTAAAAATAATAAACTTATTATAAGGGGCTTTCTCAGGGTAGATTCACAAGTCTAAAGATGAGCAAAAACCACAGGGGTCTCACAGCCTGTTCAAATGCAAATGTCTATTGTTCCTATTCAGGGTACTTTCTCACTACTGAACAATACAGAATTAAAAAGTCCCTGGTAATTCATAATACGAGTCTACTTAAAATGCCATCTGCATTGTTTCATTGATCCCCTTAATTAAAGTTTTATTAATTAAACCTTGTGCTGCTGTTTAGGGGGAATGATGTTTTTCCTATCAGACAAAGCATACTGAGCATACTGTTAGATAAATAACATTGCTTAGTAAGTCACCTTGTTAAAACAGTAACACCTACCAAAGTGCATGTGTTGGGGGAGAGTGGGAAGTATATTGACAGAACTCAGGGAGATAAAGCAGCACAGTGCAGCATATACAAAGCAGAGATGAAGTTTTTGTTTTTTGAAATATACGAAATCATTGCATCAGAAGCAACATGGGAAAGTTAGATGTTTCCTTAATACATATATTCATATTTTTCCCCTTCAGCCATAAATATAAGGCTTTAACACAGTATTTATTATATCTTTCAGAAATATTTTTAAAAACATTTACTCAAAGTATTTGATTTCAATGTTGTGATACTAATCTAAGTTTATCTATTGTCAAAGTAAGAGTTTTCATTTCTTGCATTTTTTTTTCCCATTTAAAAACTCAATTGCATATTTTTGAAATATTATCCTTAGCCCAGTTAATTGCATTACTGTAAGAACTCAGCAGACAGTTCTGGCTTTACAACTGCACTGTAAAATAATAATTTATCTGTACATGTATTTGTACACTTGGGACTGTGTTTGGTCATCTTCTCCACTGTCAAAGAGCAGCTAAAGCATGCCTAAAGTAAAAAAAAAAAAAAAAAAAAATTACGTTTATTTTTACATAGGCTGGCTTCAATAGTTTCTAGGGTAGAGTCAACTCTGATCTCTAATGGAAAGTTGCTTTTACTCTGCTTGTTTTTGTTTACACAATAGTTAGTGAACTGGAGCTCTCATGCTTACCAGGGATGAGGATTGCAGTCATTGGTATCTGAAGGAGAAAAAAAAATAAAAAAAAGAATATGAACTACTGCAACTTGTCTCAGCATATTTGTTTTCTACCATATAACATGGCTATTCCAACTCTAACACAATAAAGGAAAGAAGATTACTAATACAAAATAGACTACTCTTCTCCCTGCTTCCCTTCCCCCTGTACATTTGTAGCAAAAGTTTGGTCAGAATTAAGAAACCAAAGAGATACCCCAAATGTTACAAAGTGACAAACACATCAACTGTTTCATTTAAACAACTTATGTATGTTTTGACATATCAACAAGACAAACTGAAAGGCAGCATGGTCACAACACTACAGAAATAAAGCATCAGCTACATTGCTAGTGGCCAGTTCAAACAGGCTCTAAAGCTTTTTTAAAAGCTCACCTTCTCTTTGATTCTTCACACAAGTGAATGGTTACATAGACAGATTTCTTAAGCATATCTTCTCCATTATAAAAACCTTGAAATTGGTTGTTAATATTTACACTAGTATAGCCAATTTTAAAAGGCTTTAAAATCAGGGCATACATCAACACAACAGTAATTTCTCAGCAAATTTACAGTAAAAATGCTAAAATGTATATTTTCTACATGTTATTCCTTGAAGAAAAAAAGAGAAAAGATAACATTCAGGCTTTACTCCACTTACTCAATTCATTGTAATAGCATGTCAAAGTAGATAACTGCTATCCTCAGAGAAAACAGCCGTAAATGATAGAATGCAAGCTACTGCTTTCCTTTCCGCATACTTTTCATTACTAAAATTAATATGTTGAGCAAAACAATCCTCACAAAAATGTGTTCCCAAAGATTATTTTTCAATAGGAAACTGAAGGCTTATTTTGGCAAAGATTAGGCCAAAAAAGACAATTTCTTCATTCATTAGACAAGCGTCATCTTCTTTACCTACCTCCCACCCAGAATGATTCAGATATTTTTGGCACGTGAACTATATAAACTTGCTCTGTTTCAGTTAACTGCTCCAAGCCAGACACTCCTAATATCCCAGGGGAATGCAGGGGAAGAAAGGAGAAAAGGCTTACTCTGTGTGCATGTGCGTCCTTCCCATCCTTCTTTGCAGATGCAAGAAAAGGAATCTCCACTGCCAACACATGTTCCTCCATTCATGCAAGGGTTTGGAAGACAGCTGCTGTTTTTAGCTTTGATTTAAAACAAAGGAGGGGGAGAGGGAGGGAAAAAAAAAAAAAAAAAAAAAGAAGATTTTCAATTTCATCTGAATAGGACAATATCACTATCCTGAACAGTGTTTGATTCAGCACCTCAAGATTTACAGGAAAATTGAAAGAAACTTTTAGAATCTGAGTTATGATAGCCTCTCAAGCTTTTATTATCATTTTCCTTCCCTCTTCCCCTCCTCCCCAATATTTATTTTTAAATAAGTCTCATGATTCAATCATTACCTATTTTTCCCTATTTCCTCCCATCTGATATTTATTATTTCCTACACTAGTAGGAAGTTATACAGGTCATCATGCACACCACATAAGACAGTGACATTTAAAAACACAGACTTTGATTAAAAGCTCTAATTATATTTTAAAGGGAAGAAAACCTATACTGAGCTACATTCATCCAACATTTTGGTCTTAACACAAGTTTAATAGTCATAAAAAAAAAAAAAAAAAAAAAAAGTATCCGTAATATTGCAATCTTCAGTTAGCTCCATCTCCAAAACACCAGAAGTAACTCCCTGCAGCACGTAATCGTGTAGAAAGAACAACTTCTTCCTCTTTGCTCTATTTTTCCTAGTTAAGCCTGCACCTATATTGCTGCCTTGGTCACAAAATTACTCACATTATAACATTTAAAGCAAAGCTGAGGACTAATTTCCTTGAGAATCTTCATACATGGTGTCTATAAACAAGTACATAAGCTAGTGCAAGAGCATTAGCATTCTTAACCATCCTTCAGAGGAGCTCAAAAAAAAGCTATGTAAGCAGAGTAAGGAGAACAGTTTCCTAAAAATCAGCATCTAATGTTAGGTGGAAAACCACCTGCCTATGCGAGTTTTCAGTGGCTGATGACTCAAATATTTTTCTAGAGTGGAGGATGTTAAAAACTTCAGTCACCAGCCAACAGGAATGGTTTTGGTCTAGCTAGAAAGAGACAGGTTTGCCCATCAACCAAATGCTTAAGCATTATCTTAACTCTTCTCTCTTTGGCCCTGTCTTTCTGTAGGCAGCTCAGAAGCTTACCAATGTTGCAAGTACTTCCTATCCACTCTGGAGGACACGAACAGCGGAATGTATCTCCATCATCATAGCAAGTGCCACCATTGCTGCAAGTATTTGCATCACACTGGTATTCACCTGCATGTCACAATACAGCATAATTAGAACAGCAAGTCTAGACAAATAGAAATAAAAGTAAAATATAAAGGATAAAAAATAAAAATATTTTATGTCATAAAATTATTTTGAATTGAAAGATGACTTTATACTTGAATGACACAGCACTAGTTTCATGTGTTGTATAAGAAAACCCAAACCACTAAAGTTAAGCATCTCTTAAGACATCACCCTACTTTAATTTGTTCAAGAATACTTATTTTAAAATATTCAATTTTGCTGCTGGGAATCTGGAAGAGGTAATGAAAGTATGCTTATTTCTTTTACTGCAATTGTTTAAATTTCAGGAACCCTAGCCTCATGAGAAAGAAAACAAATCCTTGGGTAAACTTAAGATCAAAGTAAAAGAACACTTACGTGAATGACAAGTTTTGCCTTTCCAGTCATTCTTACACTCACAATAGAAGTCATTCACCAAATCAATGCATCGGCCACCATTGTGACATGGATTAGGAGAACAGTCATTGAAATCTAGAAAAAGAATTATTTGATTAACTGGTCTTGGCAAGGCTAGATCATGAAAGAGAATAAAATACTTCTTTATACTAAAAGAGGAAAGAAAAATTGCATCGTGTTTAGAAAGATTGCATTCCAAATCATTAAAAGGCTACAATATTCATACAAACAATGAAAAAGAAAAATTCAGATTTTTGAACAGTGGGAATTATGAAAGCTTTTCTAATAGCTTAAGAAAAAAAGTATTCAGAAATCAGCAGCTAAGTCCTTAAGTGAGCCAAAGCAGTTCAATTTTTCCTAACAAAAAACTACGTTCTGAACTTCAGAGAAAGCTCTTATTTGTCTTGAAGTAGTACCCACAAAATGTATTTGAAGGGACCCTCAACCTATGAGATAGTTAAGACTCCCTCTCCTGCTTTATGTCTCAAAACACTAAGAATTACAGCCTTCAGATAGCTTTATATACACACAGGAATTTTGGAACAGAGGCAGAGGATTCTTTTCACTTATGACAGAATTTTTAACAAGCAGAATATAAGTATTTGACACTAAACTTAACCCAGACCACTAAGAAACCTCTTTGACAGTGAAGACTACCAAAGGTTTCTTAGCCTTTATTTCACATCTCATTTGGTATTCCTGTAATAAATCTAAAACACGAGGGCAAGTTCTTACCAAGTGGCATCATTCAGAGTAGATCACATATAGTAAAGTATCAACTGCAGTCCCCTTTGACATAGCCTGACTGTAAACTGGACTAACATACTATCTATGACTTTACCAAGGTCTAAAGACTCAGGCCTGGGTAGCAAGATTTATTGAATAAAACTTCAGACTTGCATTTTTTTCTTTAACCAATGGATTAAACATTAAATTTATAATTTCTTTGATAAGGTAGAAGCATTTTAGCTTGAACTGAAAGTCACCATACATTGGCAAAAAAATGGCAAATGCTGGTGTTTTTATTACTGGACCAGGCAAAAAAAGGAGCTTTTATGTACATTAAATGCTAAAAGGTATGTAAGCTTACAGTGATCAAAGAAATGCAATGCATCTTTCTAACAGAATCTGTCACTTTCATCTTTCCCCAGAACAAAGTTTTATTCCCCCAAGAAATATCCTGTACTCTCACAATCAGTTTTTGCTCCTATTAAAGGAATTGACTCCTCTGGAGCTGCCATCCAAAAACCTTCAAAATACTTTGGCAAACACTGGGTAGAAGGTTCCTATGGAACAAAGAAACTCTGTGCTATTATCAGCCTCGCTCCAACCATCCCTAAGTGCTGCAGCACAGGTGTCACCCTCAGCACAAAACACTCAGCAGTACTCACTGGTGTCACACAACTCTCCTTCCCAGCCACTTGAGCAGAAACACCTAAATGAATCCACTTCATCAATGCAAGTGCCACCATTCTTGCAAGGCTTCCCAAGACAATCGTTGATATCTACAACAAGAATAAAAAGGTCAAAGCAATTGCTCAAGGCTGTCTTCATCTATGCAAGTGAGATTTAGATTTAAGTCTCTAGGATCAACAACACAAATCTGCACTCTACTTGCACATACATAAGAATACTCATAACATTTTAAACATTGGTAGGGGTTTTAGATGTATGTTCTCAGTTTTTTGTTCTTATTGAAATAAACCAGAACATTAAGTTTGTCTGAGAAAAATAGCCAATGTTCAAAAACATGTGAAGCAGCAATGCAGGTGCTCCTAAGTTGTGCTGTCAACATCTGTCCCTTTTTTATTCCTCACTTTGGAGGAATCCATGGCTTCTTGGGAGAAAACTGTCCACAGCAATGGTGTCTACAGACACTTTTCCATTTAAGTTTGGACTGAAATCAGTTGTGTTTCACAGAGAAAAAGCAAACTTCTACAAAAGACGATTGTTACTAGAAGAAACTTTAAAGAGGTGCCTAGAGCACTTTTTGTAGTGCACTGTTTCAAGGAAAGTCCTAAAGTCATGTATTTTTTAACATCTAAAAACAAGAAGTTTCTTAAGGAAGGCTCAGATTAGCAGTCATTTGAAATAAATTCTTTCTTACTTTCATGACAGTATATTCCAGTAAAACCTCTTTCGCAAGCACAAGTAAAATTCCCTCCTGGTTGACTAATGCACCGTCCATGAGGCCCACAAACATTGGATGAAATGAAACGGATTCCACCTTGGGTAGCATTGGTGAAGACTTCTATCGTGCAGCTGTCTATTACTAAAAATGAGAAGTACATCATCAATTATACTAATAAGCTTCATCACCAACCAGTTTACAGATTTAAAAGAGGTTATCCAAAGATTAATACTACTTACAATTTTTTTTTATATACTAATTCAAGTTTACTCATTTATAAGTATTACAAATATTTTATGACAAGCATGTTTTCCCACTGCCCCACTCTACTTCACAAGGTTCAAGCAAATGAAGTGCTTCAGATTATGCTATTACAAAATATAGTATTGTACTCCCATTTTTAAAGGAAAATTTTCCAAACAACATCAAGTACCTTTACAAGAATTGTTCTTGCAGTGGTCCTTGAGATGTGAACAATTCTTTCCATCATAGTCATCAGGGCAGGCACAGTAATAATCTCCTCCCAGATCATAGCATTTAGCCCCATTCTGGCAAGGGTTAGGTTCACAGAAATCAATATCCATCTGCAAGAAAGACCACAGTTAGCAGCAGCTGCTTGATTTCCCAGGGGTAATCAGCTTTATCTATGTTGCCATAGACACAGACGAAACTAATTTACAGGGAAACCCAACTTTAAAACACATTTATGAATTGTCCCTATTGCATTCCTTTCAGCAACACAGATCTAGACTTCAAATTACTTTAATCAATCCTAATAGGCAGCATTTCTGATACCTCTATAAAAATATCCTTTTGCAGAAGGCTGAATAAGCACCTTTGCGATAACTTTGCAAAACAAACAAAAACACAAGAGAACAAAGTCAAATCACTGACTGGTGATGCCCTAAATCAGTTTTAAAATCCTCAAAGCAGCCTCAGAAGTTACAGTTATTATATCATGATATCTTTCCTACTTTTTTTTTTTTTCCTCCTCAAATTTCCACCCCAGCCCACTACCCTTCATGTGAAAAAGGAAAACTTTCTCAACCTCAGAGAGGAAAGCCCAACAGGGAATTTGATCAAAATATTTAATAACTCTACAGGTAAAAAGGAGAGAGAGAGAGAGAGAGAAAAAAAAGGGCAACAAAAAACCCAACACACCCACACATTAACCAAAATAAAAGGAACTCAAATAGCATAAACTTTTGTCTGAATTTTTGTCTTAATTCAGTGCAGCACAGAATTCCTTCTGCAGAGAAGTTTTCTGCAAGCTAAACTGCTCTGTCATATGGAACATTTAAAGGAGATTACAAAAATAATTAAGGTCTCAGAGATTCTCAGATCTCCTCTATCAGCTGTCTTCATTTGTTTCCTTCCATTAGTATAAATTTTCCCTGCAAGTCCAGTAGCTGGTCCTTTAGCATCTGGAATCAATGGTATCTATTCGCTGTCACACAAAATGTAGGCAGGCAACCTCTCCTTCCCCTCTCCTCCTCTTTCAAACACGTTAATTTTACAGTATGATAGGTTCTGGACGTGAGTAAAGCATTCAAGTTATGATCCTTGTGCAGAAATTGCATATGATCTGTGAGCTACTGCACCATCTTAATGGCTGGTCATTATCTGCAAACTTTTAAAAGTTTTCATAAAAGTAGATCATTGTTTCCTAAACAATATAGATGCTTTACAATCAAATTACTCCACCATTTAAGAGAGATCACACTAATGTCCTCTGTGAAAAATTCTGGAGGAAATCCAACACAAAATTGTAATTCTATGTTCAAGATGACATCAAACTGGGAACATTGAATTTGGCTGTCAAAAACAAACAAACAAAAAACCACACACCACACCCAAAACTGTATTTAAGGCAACATCATCTTTGACTGCATAGTAAAGTCTTATGTCTTCCTTGGGTATAGGCAGACCTCTGAAGTATTACTTTGAAGCATTTTAATTATAAATTATCACCAGCACCTCAGCATTTCAGATCTGAATTCTTAGTTAATTAACAAGGCTTAAGTACACACTTCTGCAATGGTCTCAAATTGAAACTTTGTGAGCCCATACTTATACATCTACCTGCCTTTAATTATGCAGATGCTCCTACCAAGAGCAGTGGGATTACTTAAAAGTTGATTTGATTACATATTTCAGAGCTAGTAGGATGAAGGCCTAATGCATTTTAGTGTAACAGAAGGACATAAGTCCTAAAAACTGCCAAGTAAAACATTACAAGCTCAAGAGATACTTGCAGCTTTAAAACATTTAGGAGATCCAACACCTATGTGTAATAATTGACAGTATGTTAGGCTGCAGCTTTAAATGTTGAAGGTGCTATGACACCACCGTACAACAGATCTGCTTATTCAGAGTGTCAAGTAACAGCTATGCCAGCCAGCTTTGGCTTACTCAAATTTAAACCAGAGACATGTTTCTTTCCAGAACTTCCTCCATGAAAGCTCCTGCAGCAATGTCAGCACTGCCCTCACCTCACAGAAGACTCCCGAAAACCCCTGGGAACACAGGCAAGTGAATCCATTCACTAGGTCTTTGCAACGCCCTCCGTTTTGGCATGGATTGCTTTCACACTCATTTATTTCTCTCTCACAGTTTTTTCCTGTGAAACCACGAGGGCATAAGCAGTGGTAACCATTCACTTCATCCTATACAGGAGGGAAAGGACAAGCAAAAGGGGAAAGGTATGTTTATTAATAAAACTGCACACAAGAATTTAAAATATTTCCATGTGAACAAATGAACAGTAATAACACTATCTGAAGTTATTTTTAAGAAAGAGTCTAAAAGTGCAGCACTAGATTTAACATACCACACTGCAATCTCATTTAGCCAACTTGTAATTGAAAATTATAGAATCCATAACTAGTTGCAGCAAAGTTTAACCCCCATACAAAATATATAACTGACAAGAGTTACCTTACAAGTCCCTCCATGTTGACATTGTCCATGGCAGTCATTAATATCTATGAATAAAATACGCAAGGCATTAGAACTTACAATGCCTGAAGAATAAGAGGCAGAATAATTTTTAGAGAATTTTATAGAAAGTTAAGGCTTGATTCCTTAGAGGATTCTCATTTTAAAGAATTTGGAACTAATCTGAATAGAAGTTATTTCAAATAGTATTAGCTACTTTCACATCTAATATTTTAGATAAACAGAGACAAACAAAAAAAATACAGAAGTTAAAAAAAAAAGTGTAAGTCCATTTCAGCAATTTCTGAAATTTTCACAAAATACTTTGTACTGACTTTGCTGAAAGTTAAGAAAATCCTATCAGCAAGTATCTTTTCTTTGTCCAAGAATCTATACCATTATTCATTTATATATATTTTAAAAAATAAAACATCCTATGATTAACATACATACTAAAGGAATACTAACTGATATGACAATTTACTCCTGTCCATCCTGGAATGCAGTCACAGTAATATCCACCAATGAGATTTTTGCAAGAGTAAGCATTAACACAGGGTTTCCCCTCACACTCATTAGCATCTGTGAAAGAAGATAAAAGAAAGAAGAGAATAAAGAACAAACCCGGAATCAGATCACCCCAGCACCACGCAAAGTTTCCATGCAGTCCAAGCATCAGAAGCTCATGTTGTTATTTGGTAGGCCGCTAAAACCCTCACATAGCATTGGTTTTCAATGCAGTTATCTATAGCTGCACATGCATGTTATCTTACTTTTCCCCTTTGCAGAACTCAAAAGTCCACATTAGTCTGGGCAAACCCCTCCCTTGCCTCCATAAGCTGATGGTTATGGTTACCCCACTGTACTGCCACCATTAAGCAGGAGCTACCACCACCAATACTGTATTTTGAAGCAGAAAAAGTTATCAAGCATTTTAGGAGAGCTACTGTAAACAAACATAAATTGGCACTTTTATGGTTACAGATATACTTCAGATATACTTCAAAGCTCTGTTTTTAAGATCTATAAAGGAGGAGGTAAGATAACTAATAGCAACACACCTTAGAAGTTTACTTCAATAACTAACATGACCGAGATACAAGATAATTAGAACTACTCATTAGTTTGAAACAAGTCTTCAATGGTTTTCAAACTTCAGAAAGGAATTACTTACCAAGCTGGCACGTTGCTCCAATCCACTGCTGTGGACATATGCACTCAAATGAATTAATACCATCAATACAGGTCCCTCCTCGAGCACAAGGGTTAGATGCGCATTCATCAATATCTGTGAAGTTAGAATGTGCCTTCCATAACACAGTCCAAAATTTGGCTTAAGTCATTTTGAGGGGGAGGGGTGGTTCTAAAAAGCTCATTAACAGAATAAAAATTCTGTTTTTTACCTAGATTTTTCTGACATCTTTAAAATATAATTTGGAAGAGAAATTTGGCAATCTTTTATTTGCAAATAAGAAGATTCAATAAATCTTCCAAAAATTCAAATCCATGTCCCTAGATAATAACACAAGTAAATTTAGTTGCTGTGGAAAAAATAAATCCTCTGTTCTAGATCAGACAGCATACAACCTGCATACCTAGTAGCAGCTGAAATATTATATTCAACTATGCAGAAGCTTGGAATGTTTTCTTGCCTCCCTAACCAGAGTCCATCACTTAAGTACAAAATACTGTTCACCTATTCTGAGAAGCAGAGAACCTTTCATGTTTACATTTATATTCTTTAAAAATGAATCCACATTGTGTTTTAGTCCAGCTACATGGTTTGAAATCATACTATAAGCTTTGGCAACATAGGGAGTTTTACTTTACATAGCTCTAACAAAAGCTTGAAGTAGGTAACATGATCTAATTAGGCTTTTGCTAACCCTTAGATCTAAACCGCATCAAATACATGCTGTCTTTAATACCATAGGTTGAATAGTACCATTAATCTTTTCAGAGTTTCCCAACACAACTGTTAAAATCCAGATAGTGTGGAAGATTACCAGTTCCATAACCACAGAGCATGATTAAAAGCAAGCTGCATCAGCCCTCCAAACCCAAGTGGTCAGTCATCAGTCAGTGCATACCCACCAATTGCGCATGTTGGTCCACTCCACCCTGGGGGGCAGTGACACTTGAAGTCTGAGGAAATTTCATGACAAATTCCACCATTAGCACAGGGATTAGATACACAAGCATGTTCCGCTAAGGAAAGAAAAGAAAAATACTCTTGGTAAATACCCTTCTAACATCAAGCAATGACAACTTAGATAGCTAGAATATGAGTTCTGGTTAAAAGTGACCACAAGCATGAGGAATGAAGAAGAAATTGCACAGAAGTTCAGACTCCAGCACACTTTCCCCTCCACCTCTTTCCCCTCGCATCCTCCTCCTTCTCTCTTCAAGCCAGAGGAAACAGATTTGCTGTATGAGGGGTCCTGAATAGCAGGAGCAGTTTAAGTGACAAAGGCCTGTTTAGCTGAATTCTAATGTTGTTCCTTGGAAACAACAAATAGACCTGCTTGCATTTTGTAAGCTATCTTGTCCAGGGTCACTCCTCATGTAGGGCTTTAAGACTTGCAGAAGTTTTGAGTCTGAATTTTATTATGCAAAACTTCAATTGTTGCCAGTTTTCTTTTAGGAATGTTATCTAATCTGTAAACTGAATTGACATTGCCTTGGATCTTAGATACTAGTGATGAAAACTGATCATAAAGCAATATTTGGCTAACATTCATAATAGAACTTGTCAAATGTATGGCTCACTTTATCCCTACTTCCTCAACTAGAGAGCCAAGTCATTTCCCCACAACTTCATGGGCAAGCTAGGTCAATGTTTCATCCCTTTCTGTCAAAAGTTTGCAGCATGTTATACCTACTGAAGCAAAATTCAAGCTTTGATAATATCAGCAAAATCATACAACATTTCATAGAAGCTCAAATAAGATCTACACCCTGATAAATGTTTAAGTGTTCCACAGATAAGACAGTTTAGTGAACTTAGAACTCATATAGATAAACATATATTTTTTTCTATTCATACTTATTAAGAAAGCAAAATTCTGAACAAGACAGCTGGAAAGACTATGTAAAGAATTTCAAGGAATAAGATTGCAGAATACCTAACCGAATACTGTGGGTGAAAAAATTGAACTGAAAGGTGAACTGGAAGGTCCTTAAGGTGAAGAAGGACATTCCAAATTTTCAATCCCTTCCAAATATCATCTTCTAAACAAAAGACACATGCTTCCTCCTTCAACTAGGGGCAGAGGGTCAAGAAAAGTCTTCAAATACAAAAATAATCTCAAGTACATAAAAACTTGGGTCTTACATATAAGCAATCACATACATGGAAAAAATATACACAATTTTTATAGTGTAGTGAAATAGGAAGTAATTCTTCTATGCTGCTGTGCTGGATAGACACATGTCTGTTAGACTGTAGTCAGGAAGGCAAACTTCAAAAGAAATAGTTTAAATGCTTTCCTCCATTTTGGCAACACAAGCAGTGAGGCCACATTTTTCAATTGATATTTAAACTATGCTCAAGGTGACTCTATAAGAGAGCTTGAAGACATTTCCATGGCAGTTAACATTTGCATCATTAATTTGGATGTGTTACAGGTTATTAGAAGTTGACTTTAGAATGAAGTTGGTAAATCAAGCAGGAAAAGTTAACACATTTAAACAGCTAAAAATTAGACACTATGGGGATTTTGACCTATTTCAACTACCTTCCTTAGTCTTCAGTTATTATAAGAGGATGAAAGTACACATTGACATGCAAGTCAACAGAAGACATGGAAACAGGCAGGGGGTAGAAAGGTGCACCCTCCATTCTACAAAAGTGCAAGGGTAAGCATAAAGCCTATTAAGCAAGAAAGCCACCAGCCGAGAGCAAAGCCCAGCCTGAAATAGCTCCCCATTTTACAAGTAGCATGCAATATCTAGAAGTACCAATTTCGCAGTTCTTTCCAGAATAGCCATCAGGGCAAGCACAGCGATATTCATCTGGTTCAGTATTCATACATGTTCCTCCATTTCGGCAAGGATGGTGATTTCCACAGTAATTCAGATCTGGGCAGAGAAAAGGTATGTCAATCAACAGGCAAAAATCTCAGTGTTATTGGTCCAATTCTTAGACATACAAAGGCTTTTCTGGCTTTAACATCATTCCTCCCTAACATCCCCATATTCCATTAGCTAGCTTGTCCTCTCATTACTGTCTGTGGAACAGGTAAGGATGAACAAGAGACAAATGCTTGAGTTAGAGGGGTCAGGATCATTCCAAGCCTCTTGTCTTAAACTTCTTGTACTGACAATGCTTAAGCATCAGCTGCCATGAAAGAATTAGGGACAGAGATACTTAAGTAACTGCACACTAGCAGGAAAAAAATGGTTAATGAGTTATCAGTTAATCATGCTGTATTCATTTTTCCTGTAAATTAATGTTAAGTACCTTTGTTACAGAGCAGGCCACCCCAGTTGGTTTCACAATTACACTGCCATGGTTCATTACAGCTCCCATGAGCACAGCCTGGGTAGCGGACACACTCATCACAGAACTGTCCTTGCCAACCATAATGACACCTAAGATGTAAGTTGACATGTTAAAAGTTAGCAACATGATGCTTAATTATCAGCATTACACGTATTTAGAATGTTATACTTACCATTCTCAAGAACAAGGTCAACTGTTCAATGTGCAAGAGATACCAAACTGTTATTTTATTTCTCCCGTTTAGAAGGGACATACTAGTCCTACTGAATAACCTTACTGGAACTCAACTTGCTTAACCATAATACACACCATGGCAACAAACCACACCAAGACTACACATTGCAAGAACTCTGTGTATATAAATCACTCTTTCATAAGAACTTCAATCCTCACATGAACAATCACCTCGAGCTAGGAAAAGAAAGGTGACTGGCAATAAAAACACCCCACAAACATAAAACAAAAACACTTTTCCAAAAGGAAAGATATAGACTTACTGAATTGAGCATCTTAGCTTTTTTTCTATCAACTAATAAGATTAGCTAATCTTGAGTACTGCAATTTTTTCTATCAACTTATAAGAGATTAGCTAATCTTGAGTACTGCAATTCTTAAAAGAGCAAGATAGCCAAAGATACAGCTGACTAGTCAATTTTCTCAAGAGTTAAAGGCACCTTCTAAAGATTTTCTACTACATGCTGTTTTCTTTAGTGATATTTATGAGGAAAAAAAGTGTTTTTCAGAGGAAAAAAAGGAGAAAACAGAACAAAAGCCATTAATAATGCACTTGATATCATGAGATATTAACAGAGTTGATATCGGAATTTCTTCAGAGACCAATATCTCTAGATTAGGTTATCTGTAGCAGTCCCTAGAACTCTGCAGACACAAGCAATTGTGTGTGCTACAGGAAAAGCGTTGAAGTCTGAAGTTAAAAGCAGGAAGAAAAAAAAAAAAGGGGCTATGTTTCATATATACATTTTAACCAAAAATAGTAGTCAAGCTTACTTTGTTATGTTATCATCACATCAAAGAGGAAAAAAATAAAAAGTTCTGCTTGTTCTTTCAAGAGACTCTCGTATTAACAAATTAAGAGTAATACTAACAACAGACGCATGAAAAATGTATTGAATGGGGGCTGAGCACATGCATGCTATGCAGATATGAGACTGAACGCCTAGAAAAAAGCATCAGTAAGGCAACTCTATTTGTTAAAATAATGTTGTTGTTTTATAACCAACATGCCCTGAATTTAAAAGATAAGACTAAATTCTGAAGTCTCTGGGGAGTGAGGAGGAAAAAAAAATGGAATATAAACTAGGAATCTGATTCCTTCTGAATTTTTTCCACTGTTTCAGTAAGCAGTAGCAATACCCAGAAGATGCTAATGCTGGTAGCACATTATCAAAACTGCAAAATCCCTTATTTAAATTTCTGCTCTTCATTTAGGCAGAAGGAATCTAAATGCAGTGCTTGGAACAAGATTATTTTCTACACAAACTACTTCAAATTCTTAGTCCCCCTATCTCCTCCTATTCAAAATCTCAGGGCTGGGATCCAGAGATGCAGTAGTTCAGGGGCCTATCTTCTCTTATATAAGGGACGTTGTCACCAGCCTGCAGAACATGCCTACTCTAGAGCAGCTTTCTCTTGCTTTATTAGCACTAAGGGGAAACAAATACTTCTCCTGCTAAATGTGATCTCTTCCTTCCTTCTCAGGGACAGAGAATCTTTTCAGGGGCTGGTATTAAACATTAAAAAGCACTGTAACTCACTGTTACTGGCCCTGGCCCAAATCTCCATCCATGCCAAGCTTCGCACTAATGCCAGTGATTCAGTATGACTATCCCAGCCAAAGCTAACTCCCCACCCACATATAACAAGCTTTTTCAAGGGCTGAAAAGCTTGCATCACAAAGCAGATAATCACAATAACTCAATTTGTTTTCCATATCAAATGGTAACAAGTTTCTTTAAAACTGCACTGGTGATTAAAAGCCTTAAAAAAAGGCAATGCCGCTCAAACTTCAAAGGCATTTTGGCACCTACTTGAATCCAAATGTAGGCTTGAACATGCATTAAAATTAGTTTAGTAGGAAAGGGTTACTGCATGTTCATGACATTCAATGGAAACAAAGTTTACAGTTAAAGTAAAGTTACCAATAATCCCTTGGGAAATCATTTCTAGAACCTAAAAGCAGTCCAACCAAAGGAACACAGTGTTTACAAGTCAAAAGGTTACTATGTGGTAAGCTGATCAGACTGCAGTTTACAAGGAAGAATAAATTAGGATTTCCGCCTGAAGAGGAAGTCTGGTCGCATCCTACATTAGCAGGTGCTAGAACAGCTTTAATTCCACTTCCTTCTTGGAAGATAATGTTTACATGGATTTCAGCTCACTCCTAGGAGTAATATGTGATCAAAGTGAAAGCAGTTTAGAAATAGGCATTTTAGAGCTTACAAGAAAAATCTAGTCAAAATGCAAGAGGAAAGAAGGGTTAGTAATCCAACATGATAAGCTCAGAAGGTACAAACACAAAGGGAACTAAATTCAGAAAAACACAGAATGCCTCTTCAAGTAATGGCTGCCTGCATAAAAGCCAAAAGGAAACTGCTATTGCAGCTAATGGTGAACTACAGTTACTTCTCCTCCCCCCTTCAGTGGGGATAATTTATTGGAAGTTTCTACAATCCCTGATTTTTCAGATCTGAAAAATAAGGAGGCCAAATTTAGAGCAATCATATGAAGGGTTCTCATTGTTCACGAACAAAGAAAATTCTTATAGGAACCAAGATTTGACTTCCTTTGTCCTTCCCCTCTACTGACTTCATTGCCTCTAACTCATCTTTTGAGCCACAAATACAAAACAAAATCAGAGATGGCTTAATCTCAGCCTATACTGGGTTATTAGCAGTACAAAAGGAGCTACCATAAATAGATTGTTACAGTTCTGCAACTTCCTGACAGAAAGTCAAAGTGTAGGCGGGCATCTGCTCTCAGACCAAAATGTCCCTTCAGGTCAGGACTAACACAGGGACTGCAGTAGCAATAGGGGAACAAGTACTAGAAATTTTCATCTGAAGAACTTGAAGAAAAGATCCTGATAGTTCTACAGATATGCCTCACAGCTCTCCTTCTTTGAAGGATTCTGATGACAATTAAGAAAACAGAATTTAAATACAAGGCTGGGTGCAAGGATTTAACATTAGCAAAGCCTCTAGATAACATGTTGGTTTTGAGATTACAGGAATTGCAACCGCGCAGGAAAAGACCGCTATTTTTATCAACAATTAGATAAACTGCAATAATTCATAGTATGTACTGGGCTACAATAAGCAAGTGTAGCTTGAAACAGATGATTTCCAAGAGAACAAAAAACTTCTATAGTTACAGAAGGGAGCATGTTTATAAAGAAGTAAATCCAGTATCAAGGACTCGTGCAGAAGCACCTGCCATTATGCACAGTCCAATGATACTAGGCATTCATAGACAGGAGTGCCAGGGCAACAAAGAAAAATAGTAGAAGGCTTGCTTTTTCTTGCTTTTCCTAGGGCATTAGTATTTGAGTATAAGTGGAAGTGATATAGTTCTGTAAGAAAAAATATTTTTAAGGACTGTGCATTCTCTGTGAATTAAGGAAAGATGACATTGATCCTTGCTTTCCTACAAGAATGTTTATGTTAAGTTACATAGAGGTTAGGCTTAAATTTGGCTTTTCAAGTCAGATAGCCGAAGTACTCAAAAGATTCTGCACTGCATATGCATAAATTGGTATATTAATAGTGTATATATATATGTAAGCATGAGGGCCCAAGCAATCTGGTCTAACTAGACCTACGTCAGGTAGGAGGTGGGACTAGAAGACCTTTACAAGTACTTTTCAACTCCACAATTGTATGATGAATCCTACAATGGCAGTTATGGAAGTGATCTGGAAAAAGTGAAGAAGTGTACTTAGTTCCTGATGGTCTGAAAATTAGGGTCCCTCAGGACCCTTCATGATTAACTCCTTATTATCCAAAAAGGAAGACACTAATTATATAACAAGAGTTTACAATACTCGGTGGCCAACTCAGCTGTTTACACAGCTCTCACACACAGTTTATTCTCCTGGTTCAATCTTGTTATTTTGAAGTACCGAACATTTAGTGCAGAACTTTCATCTAGGGTACTACGCATCGTAGGGATCATCTAACCACTAATCTAGTGAGCCTGACACTACCAAAAGGCTCATAGCATGCAAGAATAACTGCTAGAAACCTAAATACATTCTGTTCTAGCTACAGAGCTTTGATGGCAATTACTGCACAAGTAGACACCTAAATAACCCAAAGCCTCAAGGAAATCAAAACTACTACTTAAGTATGAGTCAAAACATGAAACCTAAGAACATAAAAAAATCCTAGGGAGAATATAGGCAAGGTGATACTAGTCTAACTACCACTGCCTACATGTACTGCAGATCTTGTATATTCTATTAAGGCAGAAGCGAACACCATTGTGCTATACTATTTACACATGTAATTTTTAAACAGACTTTCAGAGGGAGCTTCTTCTGCATGGATTTCAATTACAAGCTGTAGCCAAAGCACTCAGCACAGGAAAATGAAGCAAAACAGTGACATTAAGAACAGAAGCAAAATGCATCATTCAGGGGTGGGGGAGAAATAGCTGTCTTAAATGGAAAACCACTAAATTTTCTGATGACGTGCACAGGATGGTGTTGCATAGGCCAGAATAATAGCTTTATATTAGCTATTTACTTAAAATAGCTATAAGAAAGTCTGTTTAATCTTTTAAGGATTTAATTGTTGCATAGCAGGCAGCAATAGGGTCCAACTGTTAGAAGAAGATCCAAGAATTCTGAGCATCCAAGTTCGGTACTATAGCTGGTATAAGGTCACAGAAATGCTTTCTCTACTTTCCTACTGCTGAAATAGCCATTTAGTGAATAGGAAGATAAAAAGATGCTCATTAATGAAATCAAATCCTTCGTTTACCTAAAAAGCTTGTCTCTTTTTTCTCCTGCTACCCAAAGTTCTTGCTAGATCAAAAGACACAAACCTCTCCCTACAAAACTCATTTCTGCTCTAACAAAGGAAGCCACAGAAAGCTATAATTCTTGCTCCAGCACTTGCTCCATTTTGAGTTTCATGGAGGAGATGTTTTGGAGGGATGGTTCAACATTGTTTACCCAGAACATATAGGTAAAGGTATCTTGTTAACTTCCATCTCTAGGGCGTACCTGCACTGCAGTAATTCAGATGAGTAGCATACTTTTGAAGTAAACTGCCCGAATATTCCTGTTCATGGTACATTCATTCACTTCACAGAGCTGTTCTGGAGCTCAGCAAGTAGATTTCTTCCAGGTTAAACTGAGCTAACCTAAGAGCCTAAGATCCTAATGTCTTCCAGCTGCAAACAGTCCAAGATGGCACTAATTGAAGTGACCAGGGGTGACAGGAGAGGGTATCCTGCTCAGACAAAAGTCTCTTCCAGATTGCTCTTCAGATAAGATTATGCAGCTTCTCACCATGACTAGCTATTCTGGAGCAACTGCAAAGTTTAGTCTGCTTTTGGCAAGTCCTGGTTAGCCGGTAACTCATCTGTGAGCATCTTCTAAATGTTTAGAAATATTTGTTTCAAAGTTCTTTTGGGATTTGACTCTGACTTAGTCTGAAATTCCCTTTCTACCTTACCCTCTACTCTATTTTTAGAAGCAAGCATTACATTTTCTCCCTTTTCAGTCCTCCAACATTATTTGTTAGTCCCAAAGTATATCCAGTTTGAATTGACTCGAAGTATATTTACCTATACTTTGAGAGCCCTCACAGGCTTTCACTGAATACCCAAATGAGCTTAATAGAATGATATATATGTGTGTGTGTATATATATATATATATACATATATATACATATATATATATATGTTTTAAACCATTGCCTGATATTTGCATCATCAAGACAGAAGCCAAAAATGTACTGGTTGGTCTCCTACTCAGAAGAAAAACCATAAGTTTTCTCTTTAACAGCAGCAGGACCTATCACTACTACTCCTAACCTTATCCAGACAGTCGTGCAGGCATTTTGCAATACAGGACAACTCTGCCCTTGCATCTCTTCTAGAAAGTACTGAAAAAATAGCTGACCTGTCTCCACTCTCAATTTGACTGGTAAGTTTAAGAGCACCTGGAATGGGCCCTATAGCACTTGCAGACACTACTAGTTTAAAGAAATAATCCTTGCAAGCAAGGTCAAACTATAATACAACAACTACACAAGAAATACTGATAGAGAGTTTAAGAACTCTTGTTCAACACAGCAGGAGAAAAACTTCTATTTTCAGGGTTTAAGCATTAGCCTAAGAAAAGCAATAGAAGTAACAAAACTGTCAACACTAAAACCAAAATTTTGTCCCTATTAGCTCAAAAGTCATTCTAGAGTAAGCTAGTTCAAACCAGCACAGAGATTAAACAATTAATTTAATTTAGAAGTCTTACCTATATACTGGCTTTGTGAATTCATGCAAATTGAACATTAAAAGACTGTTAAAAACCCTATTTCTAACACTTTCCAGCTAGTCTACATATTCTAGAAAAATTGTCACACTTGCAAAACAAATTTTTACTTTTCTTAGGAGGTAACCTAGGTCTTACCATAGGTCTATAGAGATGTAGTTGAACAAGTTGACTGGAATTAAGAATTTGGCCCCTTTATTAGATTTTGGGAGAAATTGAAGTAAAGACAAAAGTAGATAGATTTTTAAAGACACCTGGTAAGAATATGACAAGGTACCACAGATACAAGGCATACATATACTTTCACCATACCTATCCCATTGTGGTTTACACTGAAGCAAAAGATCAAGCAATTAGGCCTGACAACTTAAGAGCAGTACCAAACATACCCAGTCAGCAGTTTTACTGGAGGAAGGAGATGGTCAGTTGTGACTTTCTCTATGCCCACTGTGATTTTGTAAGATGATTGGGCCTAAGCTGCTTATAAGACATTAGATCAACCTTCATCCTGTCCTTTATAGCCCAATGGGATTTAAGGAAGTAGCTCTAAAGGTGCCAGAACACACACACAAAAACAAAAACACCACACACGTACAACCCCACTCAACATAGCTTAGTAGTGCTTTTATGACAATCTTTCTGGACTGAAATCAGTCAAGACCACTGGGTCTGCCACTTCAGGCTAAAAAAAAAAAAAAAAATCTATATCCAGATGCACGCTTGAATCTGTACAGTTTTTTTTAAATTAAAAAATATTTCAAAAGACACACAGACATTAATTTCCCATCTTAGCAAGATTCATCTGAACTGCTTTTTCCTCCTTGGGGTATTCAATGTTAAATATTTCTTTTCACCTCTACCATAACAAAATTCCTGTCACTCAGATGCAGCAATACTACAAAAATAATTTCCTAAATGCCAATGTCTTTGGATTTTTGGGGGATTTTTTTTTCTTTCATTTCTACCATAAAACTTCAACAAAAGGAACTAATTTCACATTCTCAAAATCAGAGGCACAAAAATTTGCTCAACAGGTAAGGTTTCAGTAACAGCTGATGGCATATCAATTAGCAGCAGTTTGCAATCATTTAGCTAAGGTGACATACTGCTTTTGGCAGAGTATTTAATCCAAAACCTGCTCTAAATTAGCCTGGAATGTCACTGCAGAGAGGGTAGATCCTTACCACCAGAGTCAGGCTGCAGCCTCAGAACCATGTTTTATCTGCATGTTCATACAAGTTACAGATGGAGACAGCTTTTCTATGTATAAAGGCAGTTGCAGAGTTGGGCAATCAAGTAGGCTATTGGCACCAGTAGATTTCCTTACATCTCACACCCATATTTTTCTTCACATTTTCATTTTCCTTCTGAATTAATGAAAGGGGAGGAGGGAAGACATTTCTGCCACTTGTCAAATGACAACAGGAACTGTCCAAAAACCAGGATGAAGGAATCTGGACTGTATTTTTGGAGAACCAAAGAGCAGTTATAATAGCAATTATAAAAGCTTTCCTTGTACTGAGTTTAAAGCTCATGCCTGTAAGCCTTGCTTATTCTTTAGTTCAGCATTATTTTTTCTTCAGATATTATTGGTCATTTGGGCTAAAATCTCTATTTCTAATATAACTTAAAGTCTGTTACAGAATGCAAGCTAAAGATACTTGTAATATCAGCTTCTAAGCTCAAGTTAACAAACAACATTTTAGAGAGATGACTGAGAGTCTTTGAAACAGTGGAATGAGGAGGATCCATACAAAAAGACCAGTACTTTCCTTATACTTGCTGACTGCTGGTGTATCATTTCAGGACTCAGGTGCTCCAGAAATAAGGCATGCAGCATACAACCCATCTGGAACATTAAATCACTTGCTCTTTCCTCCAGTTCAAAATTTCCTTGAATTCCCAAAGCTCATATCCATGAGTGTGATTATTTTAAATCATCTTTTCCATTATTTGCCACTTGAAACTTCTGACTGTCAGGCAGAGTGGGACTTGTTTGCATCTCAGCTGCCACCGCTCATAAACCAGTGTTTCAGCCCAAATCTAACTCCTTCAGCTGCACTTTGAGCTAAGCAACCTGCTCACCATTTCTGCCACTAGTAGTCTCTAGTAAAAAGATGAAGCAGAACTGCGCCTTAAGCTGTCATAGTTTGACTCATCAAAGGGTATTTGTCAACTCTTGAGAGTTCTGACACAGACAAATTTCACAGTTACAGGAGAGAAAATAACACAACCTATTAAGAAACCACTGTAGAAACCCACTTTTATGTTAATACTTAAAAAAAAAATCTGCATATTAAAGGACTCGCACAAGCATGAAACTTGCACGTATTTGCAAATAAACCTGTCCTACTCAATACGCAGCACAGAAATAATACCATTTCACCTTGATACACTGTGTTAGAAAATAAAGCTTCTACAAACTGAAGAACCAGAGATACTACTGCAACTTTCTCCGAGTTAGAAGAATACTTTAATTCTGTGTCTCACACTTAGGGACTGGGAGAAAGTCCCAAAAATCTTATTTTGGACACTGTTTAGGTTGGTGTTACTACTGTTATCTCCGTTGCTATTGGGGAAGCTGAGAAAGAAAATGAAAACAAGAAAATGAAATATTAAGTTTACTTCATTATGCTTTGATATTATAATTATTGGATGCTCTAATAGAGAGCATTTCCTAGTCAGCGCAGCCCACTCCTAAGAATAATGAGCTTTAAGGCAGATAAAGATAATACAGAGAAAACAGATAAGCAAGACTAAAAATATATATATAATGTATTTTTAGCACCTAGAGATTTTGGAAAAAAGGGTTCTTGTTTGACAAAGGCTTAAGTTTGGATTACATGAAGCAAATCTGTTCCATTATGTAAGCACAAAAGTAGAAGAGGATTATGAAACAGCATGAAGCATACAGAAATTCTCACATGTGAAATACACTCGATATCTACTTCCACACATGTTTTTATGCAGCCCACTTTCCTCTAAAGGAGACCTTTTAAAAGTATTGGCACATATGGAAAACACTAGAAAAAAAATCAGCACTCATTTAAAATGAAAGTAAAAATAAACAAATAAATAAAGCATGCAGGCTTACTTGCATTCCCCAGGTACACTGCAACCCCCATGGAGCAAATTACATCCTTGTTTACATACAGCTGTAAATAGAAAAAGGATTAGACTTCAACTGGTCTAGGCAGCAAGGTATCTGTTTGTGAAACAACTATCAAACTCTACAGCAAGGACTTTTGGTGGAGTAATCTATAAATTGCTTGTGCATAGCTGCCTTTCAGGATGCCTCAAAAGTCATAGCTTCTTACTAGTTTATTTTGAACAACAACATTACACTGTTTATGAAAATAACTTAAGGTAGCTTCTTAAAAAAAAAGGTACTACCAAGTTACTGCAGTAAGACTGTCAATAATCAAGTATTTCTTGGGCATAGTTATTTTTTAAACTACTTAGACTGATATTAAAACAGAAATCTGAAGCTTCCAAAGACACAAAAGTCTAAGCCATAAAATGTTTTCCCTTGTCATAAACAGGATTTTATTGAAGAGGAAAATAAAATAAACAAAAACAAGAACCCCTGATACATAGAAGAATATATCAAGTATTTTTAGCATTAAATTACTCTCTGGGAGACTGAGCATAAAATATAAAGAGATTTGATTGGAGATTACTGGTACATTGAAAAGAACACTGCACTTGAACTTCCGCTTGCATTAATAGCTATCAAAAACCTTTCATCTTTGCATACATTAAACAACTCTACATTTTAAGTAGTGTTACAAGGGCATTTCTACAGAATTAAAAAAATATCTAGCAAATTACTGCTACTGAACTGCTCAGTAACTTGCATCACTAGCCATAATACATAATTTTGCTTTGAAAACACAACACTCTAGGATGAAGTTAATTACTAGGATATTTCACTATTTTAGGTCGCAGATTTGTTACTTATTCCTCCCTGCATTCATCAAGAACAACATTGTATCCTGCCTCAGGTTTCACCCTTAACATGGAACAAATTCATCCTCTGTAGGTAGAACATTTAGCTGTTTAAACATCTCTTTCCAGACTTACTGGAAGGTAAGATGAAGTAACGATATAAAAAAAGGTTCAGCTATAACTATGCTTTGACAAAGTCCAGAGTTTAAAGGAAGATGTCTATATGTGCTAAAATTAAATTTGATGCTACAGCACTAACTCAAGAAAAATACCATGAGCAGTATTGTACCTATTTTATTAATACCAAGGCTAATCTAAAGCGAAACAAACAATACTACCTTGTTTACATTCTTCGCCCATCCAACCTTCCATGCAGGCTTTGTTTCCATTTTGATCACATGTATAGTGACCAACAAAATCATCTCGAGGGCCACAAAATTTGTTGCACAGGGCACTATAGTAATTTTCATCACATTTCACTCTTATTTGCACTTCAAAATGCACAGCAGGGCCATTAAATTGTAGTGTCTTCCATCGATCTTCTGGGTTGATCATGCCAGCATATGCCACTCGTTCAATCAGCAAGTTTTCACCTAATAAAAAAAAATTAAAAGGTAATTTCAACAGGTTTTGATACTAGCAGTTTGCTACCATGCAGGAACACATCAATTTAAAATCAAAAGCACTCAAGTGGTTAAGAGAAAGGCATAGTAAAGAAAATGTTAAGATGATAAAGATCTACTGTATAACTGAATTTTCCTCCGCCTTGCAAAGTTCATTACAGGAAGGCCAGTTTAAAAGTGTCTCAAAGGAAATATGAAAAAATCCCTGGAACATAATCCATAGGAAACAGCTTATTTTTCAAGGTAGCCAAATGTACCACACCCATACACTGACAACCAACAGATTTATCTTGATTTGAAGCTTTTTGCTTCCTTTTTGTTCTCAGAATTGCAAAATTAGCATTATCTAGTAGTTAAAATATTGGTATAGGAATTATCTGGTGGAAGTATGCTTCAGAAAAGAAGCAAAAGGCACATAATTCAACTCGGTTAATTTGTTGAAAAATTACTATGTAATAATAAATGCTCAAGTAGGCTTATATTATTTACATAAAGCAGATTATTCACCTTTTTTTAAACTATCTCTAAAGTTAAAGGCAATATATCTTTAGACGAAGTAGTTGATCAAAACTCTTGTTGTTCAGTGTATTTCTTGGACAGAAAAGCAAATACAGGTAATTGGAATTGTCCAGGGCCCATTCGCAGCTCCGTATGCTGCTTATCCTCATTCTCAGGAAGCTATGCTAATTCCAGCCACTGCTGCAGTATAAGGACCTTCCTGCCTTTCCCTAACGGAAAAGGGGCAACACAGCTACTGGCAGCCTCAGCTGAAACCCAAAGTGCAGAGTATTAACTCAGCAGTCACAGCAGACAAGATTACAGAAGTGACAACATCTAACACTGTCTTTTTGAATATCCATTTTGTAATCATATGTTTTATTTTTGATACTGAAGGTTCAATACTAGAAAATCAGAAAGAGTTATAATCATCACAGTGGGATTATACAATACCTGAATAAGTGTTAAGAATAAGCAAAGCACACTAAGTTTAAGGGTAGGCAATGAGTGATCTCAGTGATACGAAATCTCAAATGACAATTCTGAAACCACTATTCAAACATGGAACATTCAACTCAAAGTGCTCTTCCAGGCCACTGCAAGCTGCAGCTGGAACTCCGGGTGGTATTTAGAGCAAATAAACAGTACACAAGCTCCAACTGCATGCATTGATTTAATACTTATTTAATAAACAGCTATTGCCAGGTAACAGCTTCAGCATCTATTTTCTTTAGGTGCTAACCACTCAAAAATTCCTGGTGACAGAAACAAAACGGCCAAGGAATACACAGCAAGGGGCTGTGCTGGTAGTGAGATAAAGTCTCGACTTAAGATTATTAATAATACAGCACAGGCCAAACTGGTAGGAAGAAATATTAGATTATTGCGACAGATTTCAGCAAGTACAGTGCATGTGTTTACTTTATGGATGTCACTAACAGCTTTGGGAGATAAAATTGAATATTGTTCTATATCTAGGAGAGTTACAAACTGCACAGAGGTATCCTGTGCACCTGCTACCAACTACTCCTTCAGGATGTGAAAGTATTCCAGTGACCATTTTCAGTCATTCCAACATTAAAGGAAAATGAAAGCTACAGAAATGCTTTGTAGGGTCCAAAGTGTTTCATTTAGTGTTGTATTTCAAGCTTGTTGCTACTGTAAAAGCATTCACCTCTTAAAATTAAAGAATACTGAACCAAAAAGGCTATGGTTTAATTAAGCATTGAAAGGTTCTTCACTAATTAATATTAAAGAAGTCAGAATATTTCTCTGCTTTAACAAATGGCAGTATCTATGCAAAGGCTGCAATTTGTGCTCGCCTAGACTAGTTTCCATAATACGATTTATGGCTAGACATACACATTAAAGTCTTTACCCATATTCTTAACCTGTAACTTCTGTCAGACAGCAGCAGTGGTCAGTAGTGACCAGAGTGGGCAAGGCAGGAGCTAGAGAAATCTGCCTGCATATCCCTTTAAATTGAACAAGACACCAATCATATCAGACACCTTTAAGAGCCTCGCTATTAGATTCAACATCCTTTTATAATCTGATTCTCCTCTACTGTTCATTGACCTGAAAATCTTGGTGAAAAACTAGCTGAATCATGGAATGGTCAAGGAATTTGACGAATGTGCATTATAGAACCATTTTCTAGATACAAGCAACACAGGATCATGGAAAATGCTGTCTGACCATTGCTGTCATACACACCAGAAGAGTTTCCTTAAAATGTATCAGATGAATTGAAGAACAAGTTCTGAGAATAAAGTTGTGGCTTGTATAATAAAAGTCTTATCAAACATCTCAAGGCTAGCGCAGATTCATCAGACCCAGTTAAAAAACAGGAATAAACATTACAGGCATAGCAAATGGCAACACTCATGCTGAATAGCCATCTTGATACCCAAGGTAGAAAAGGGAGAAAATAATTTAACAGTTGGTCCTGAAATTTTATCTTGGCAAACTCCTGTAAAAAGAATGTATTCTATTTATTTTATGTCAGTAAAAATAGGAGTTAATAGCCTAAATAAGCAAGACAAATTTACCTTGGACCACAGAAGGCACTATCAATTCTCAGCTATCTAGTTCCCAACAGTAGATTCTTAATACCAGAATTAGTAAAAGGGAGTCTGCTTTACTTCAAAGGTTACATCACAAATACAAGGTTCATCCTGCAGAGATATCTATAACTGTAGTGAGGAACATGTTTGCCAAGGTTTCTCCTTCCTCCCCTGCAATGTCAGGGTTCAGGATAATCGCTCTCTCACAATCAACTCCGGATGAGATAAGTTTGCTCCCTGCAACTGCTTAACCATCAAAATTCCTCTTTGCTACTCACACAATGGTACTTTTAGCACTCAATAAAGGTAATGAGCAAGATGACCAAATTTACCTAATAACTAGTTAAAAAATACCAAAGGCAGCACTACCTTTTTCTCTTTCCTTTCTTCAGGAGTTAAGGCTTCTTTGCCCTAATTAAGAAGTTTTCTGTAAGCCTCTCCAAAAAAGCAGAGGGTAGATGATGGCTTAAACTTCCCAACATCTTACCTTTAGAATTTGCATCTCTAGTGTTTTAACCATAAGCCTACATTCAGGAACTATGACTGCATTTATTCAAACTACATCTTTCATCAGCTCACTAAGTTTTAGCAGCAGTCAGATATTCATAAAAAGCTTTTTAGAGGGCAATAGAAAAGCGATGCTTAGAGCTATTTGCAAGATGACACACACAGTAGCATATAAACTTCATGTATTTAGCATCTTTCAAGCACACATTTTAAGGCCATAAGGAGAGATTAGACTGCTACAGACTAACATAAAAGACAACAGTGATCACAGCATCTCTGCAGGAGACAAATAGCCAAAGGGAAAGATGCAACTTGGCGCTGCCTCACCCAGTGCTGCCATTTGGAAGCAAGACCTCTGCCATATGACTAAGTCTGCCAACTCAAATGACTTACCTGGAAAGTAGCATGAACTATTGTGACAGGTGATAGAGAACAGGCCCTTTGCTGTGACTTCGTAACTAAGCCAGTGCCCATTCCCACTCCTCTACCCTCTGAAACCAAACAACTGGTAACATTACACTGCCACAAGCTTCCCTTCAAGCTGATGGCTCTGCTGTGTGTCCTGCCAACTCTGCTGCAGAGGAGGGAGGAAGCACAGAAGGAATTTAGAAATCCGTTTTAAACACCTCTTCTTATATTTTGTGACAAATACAGGAAAATTTGACACTGTTCTTAAGAGACAGTTACTTCATGGATCTGCTCTGATAACTATTAACTTCATGGATATAATGAAAAAGCAGGACACTAGTACACATACAGAGATGAGATTAATGACTCTTCTAAAGCCTCCAAGTTGCTTATAAAGTCTCAACTTTTTTTCCTTTAAGGCTTACTATCAAGTCCAAAAGTGACTGGAGAACTTATATATATTTCATACCTCACCATCCCCATTAAAGGAAAGCAAAATCTGGGTTTGGAATCACTTTATAAACATACTTTGGCAATTACTTTGATTAAGCTTTCTTGCAGTGGCAACAGAAGCAAGACACGTAACCTGAGCCAGAAATCAACTTGGTGCTCAGTATATGGTGGGGAGTTCAGCTTTCCAGAGCTATTTGCACTGCTTCGAGATGCAGGCAGCATCTTCGCTTCTGAAAAAGACGCCATGGAGCCCCTTTCTAGTCTGACACACTCCTCTGTCCTGTTCAGCACTCTGCACAGAGTGTCCTTGTCAAAGAACGACACAGAAAAACCTACTGCAGGTCTCCCTGTCAAGGGCTCTTAAACACACACCGCCCACCTAACGGATTGCAGTCCAAGACTGAGACGGACTTCTTTAGTTCATGGAAACTGCTAATTGAAGGACACATCCCACCAGGCTTCCAAAAAAAGCTTTACTTTTTAACCATGTTGTCCTGAAGGTCAGGGCAGGGAAGGGAAGCCCTAAATCAATGCAAGTAAGATTGCTTAACAAAGAAAAAAAAAAAAGAAAAGAAGAAAAACAAACCACACATGCTCCCACCTGAAAAAAGCTTCGTGCAAAATTAGAATGATACTTCCCTTGCCAAGCTTAAAAAAATTGTAGTTTTAAAACTATGAATTTACAAAAGGATTCTGCAGATTTTAGGATGTAATCGTAACATTGACAACTGATAAGCAGCAGTCTTCCAAATATTATCAATAATTTCTTAAATCAAAATTGACCAATTAAATGTAGAGACATCTCTTCCTCAGGATAAACTCTTTCAATTCCTCCAACTCCAACCCACTACAAAAAGTCTGAAAACTACTGCTATGCTGCACGGTTAAACTTACTCAAGATACAGACTTACTCTGTTCAGTATAAAAAAATAAAATCTTATTTTGAATAGTATGTCCAATCTTGGAAACTGCCATTCAAGAAGGCTGCAGACCACCTGGAAAGCTTGTAGCAACATGAATTACCAGAGATGTGAAGAAAGCATATTAATCGGAAAAGACTTAAAGAATTGTTGAGCAACAGGAGAAGTTTAATTCTAACAGAGGGAGGGCTGAGGGGCATAAGCTACAAATGCACTGCTGCTCTGTCCATTACTGGAAACAAGAGTATTAGGGAAGATGGAAGCAAGACTGATCCCAATTTTCAAAGAAAAAGGGCCTTAAAGCTCTAATGTAGCCTTAATGTCCAGTGAAATATCAATTTAGCATTGCCTTTTTTCCCCTCTTGAGGCATCTTGATAACGATGGTCAATGAGGTAGTGAAACAGCAGGGAACAGAAGCAATAAGTAAACAAAGAGGATGATCTGGAACATAGATCTTCACTACTTCTAATGCCCAATTATAATCCTCTAAATTGATCCCAGGTGAAATTAAATAATCCTCCATTAGCAGCAACCAGAGGCTGAATTTTACATAACAAAGCCAAGTACCAATTATGCTGAGAAACCAGTTTGCAAACTATTAGCAAAGAGTATGTTCAAGCTGTCCTACACTACCAGCTATAGAGCAACCAACATATTCATACGATTTTGAAGTATTTAAAAGTATTTATACTCTGCCCTTGTCTTCTTCAGAAGATTGACAGCCCTGCCCTGATACAATGTTAATATCTAGACAAAAGCATGAGATTGTTTTCAATATTACAGAAGAAGCAACTGAAGGAGGAATCTCACCACTGTTCACAATACTTTCATGGTGAAAAGAGTTTCTTCACATGGCATAAGAACACTTATTGTGGTTATCCCAGAAGCCAGCTATAGGCAAACTAAAGAAAATTTCAAATACAATCCCACAGCATAGACGACATCCCATTAGCTAAAGCAGTGCTCAAGATTCAGTTTAAACATGGTTTAAAACTTATTAGAAAACACATTAAACACTTTATTTGCAAATCACTTTTGCCTATCATTAATAATTTGCCTTATTTTCTAATCCAATACTCTCTGCTTGGGTTTGCACATGCCTTTTTTGCTAGCACTCTTGCATTCACACTGGTTTGGTGGGTTGTCCAATTTCAGTCACATCTCATTGTTCTTCCTAACCTGAGTACATACAACACACAAACAGTGAATTTTGCAAGTTCTGCAAAAATACTCACCAGCTTTTGTATCGTTATCCCAATCCCATGCTTCTATTATTAAAGTGAACGATCTCTGAAAAGAAACAAGACACCAATTAATAATAAAAATCTACTGTTACAGACACTTGAGACAAGCAGATATTGCTGCTACAAGAAAGAGAATTCAAAGGAGTTTAAGGCCTCACCACTCTGTTGTCATGTGAAAGCCCTTGAAGGCATCTTCTCAAAAACATGAAGTATAAAGCGCTAAAAATTATGGGGCCAAGCAGGCTAACAGCAAAAGAAAAAAACATGTTTTTTCCACCCCTTCCCCTCACAAAGGGAAGAACTATTATTATTATTCTCCCACATGTATTGCTCAGCTTTGCTTAACCACAGAAGTCCTTTCTATTCAAACCTTTACTATTATTTCTGAAGTGAAAGGTTCTAAACTATGAGAAATAGCTACAGTAATAGATTTAAACAACCAAAGGAGAAAACAAACAAAAAACCCACACATCCATCTTTCAAGAAGTCTACACAACAGATCAGTTTAGATAGAAGAATTTCTAGTAAACAACAAAAAATATCCTCTTCTATCTAGTAACAGTTTATAGTTCTTTCTCACAAAAGGAGAAATATCAAGAATGGACCTGAAAAAGTTAAGATAGAAAGAAATACCTTTAAAAGAGTGCATGCTTAGTTGTGTCCTTTACCTAAAGGCAAAGGAAAAGCATGACTTCTGATGGTTTTGAAATGATTTGGAGAAAACACTAAGGTTTACTTCACTAAAGATTATGAAAAAACTTGCATCAGGCAATTCAATTGGTTTTATGATAATATGTAGGATGAATGTTGACATTTGAATAGAAATAATCTTCAGAAAATAGTTATCTTATGCACAGATGATGATAAACTATTTCAAGTTCAACAGAAGCAGACGTCAAGCACTTCAGCTTTAGTATTTTCCAACTTCTGCAAGCCAAAAGTGAAATTCTCACACACATTTAAAATCAAGAACAATAATAACCAAGAAGCAAAACAGCTTTTGTAGTACTGAAATCCTGCTATGTACATCCTATGCCTAGAGTCAAGCCACACCAAAAGCTGAAGCTCTTTAAAGAACACAGAACCAAGTCTTAGTGTGTGCAGAATTCACAGGCTCACAAGCTGCCGAGTCACAGGGACCTGGGGAAGTTCACTGAGGAACTGAAGCACACCCT